ATGTCCTAACTCAATGTCTCCTTTTTTTGGTAATGTAGGAAGGTGGATATACTCATGATATACCTACGACCTTGCATAGGAGCAAAGCTGACTGTCCAGTGCCAGATGTCAGTATATTTTAGTTTTTTTTTTCAATTACATTCATTTTTTATGCCAGGAAACATCTGATTTTGGTTTGTTCTATTTTGCAGGAGCTAGTTACTGTTAGTGTTGATGGCTCTGTGCTTGATCGAATTGCTAAAATCATGTCGTATCTTCGTCTTGGATCATCTGGGAAGGTTCTTAAGAAGAAAAAGAAGGAGAAAGATTCTAAAAGTAATTAATTTATGATATACTCGATGAGTTTTGTTGATAATAGAAACAGCATCGTCATCTTAAAGGGAAGCTATGAGATATTATTGCTCTGAAGAATTCTAGTGTCTTCAAATTCTTTTCTAGGTTGGCCTGTCAAAATTTTATAGTTTGGGATGAAAGCATGATGTTGATACTTATATTGTTTGCTTAATGTAGTTTAGGTTTGTGCCATTCCGAAATTTGGGGATTTTGCTTATGCTGTTTAAATCTGTCATAGCATGCTACAGTGAGGTCTTTTAATTGTTAAGTCAGCAAGTGTTCTGTGTTTGAATCTCTCATACACTGTCATAGCATGTTTTATGTGTTCAATGTGTATTCCTGTTCTACTGCAGGAAAGAGTTCGACTATTGCTAATGATTATGAAGAAGACGATAAATCATTAAAACCTGATGGTAGTTTGGCAAGGAACAGGAGTGATATAGAGGTTGCCTTGCCACCACCTCCGCCACCACCTCCCAGAAAAAATCATCTTGATTTGAGCGATAAACAAGTTCCAGTTGTTTCTAGGGCAGAAGAGGATGATATCTTTGTTGGAGATGGTGTTGACTATGCTGTTCCTGGCAAAGATGTGACACAAAGTCCAATTTCGGAAGATATGGAAGAGTCTCCCCGAAATAAGGAAAGAGTCTCCTATTTCACAGAACCTGCATATGGCCCAGTCCAGCCTTCTGTGCCTGCTCAGGAATGGCAAGAACTGGTCAGTTGATCCTAATAAATATTATAATCAGTCCAAAAGAAAAGTAATGGTTCATCCTCAAAATTAAGTATGAATTTGATGTCTACATGGATGAAATATGATGCAATTTTGCAAAATAACTTTTTTCTTCTTTATGCGTGACTTTTTTGAACCTCAGTCTGTAATGAATAACCAATATGTGGTACCTTCTAAGCTAAGCTTTAGCAGCTGAATTAACTGAAATCTTCTTTTCCTTTCTGCTTTAAACTGGTTTCAGAATGGATACAGTACCATGCAAACACAAGCATTGGCAAGTGGCTACCAGGGAGAGTGGCAGGATTACCAATATGCTGAGCAGTTGGCTTATCCTGAACAGTACCTCCAGCCGGATATGCAGAGTTATGATGTTCAAGCTGGTTTGACTATTCAACAGGATCCACGCTTCATGACCCAAGAAGAGAAGGATAGAGGTTTAGGGTCTGTCTTCAAGCGGGATGATCAGAGGCTTCAACAGTTGAGGGAGAAAGATGCACGAGAAAAAGATCCAAACTTCATCTCTGAGAGTTATTCTGAATGCTATCCTGGGTATCAAGAATATAACCGTGAGGTTGTGGACAGTGATGATGAAGATGACTTGTCAAAAATGGATTGGGGTGGAAGGGTAAGAAGTTCTTCTCTCTTTCTCTTGAAAAATATAAAGTTAAACATATGCGAGACCTTAAATTTTAGATATAATTACAATTTGGATACATGAATTTTAAAAATATGCAAGTCAGTTCTTATTTGATAAATATGTCTG